ATATATTAGATATGACTCGTGACACAAAATAGTAAGGTTTTAGCAAAAATAAGAAACCCGGTAAACAATATATACTATGCTTGAAAGTATCAATGAGTCTGATTAGTAATACAATACAGTAAAATTATTCTATGGTAGGTGTAGCATTACAAAGATGATAACACATGTTGAAGCAATACAAATATGATTAGAGATGATAATACAATAAAAGATTGTAATATTATTTTGTGTATAACCAAGACAATTAGTAAAACGATATTACGAGAAATAGTATCTCTATTTTTTTTTTAATTATACTATCAATAGAGAGGATATATTACCTTAAAAAAATATAAACAATCAAAGCTAATTTGTACCCTTGTTTTTAGTACCGTCGTTGTAAAACGGTATAGTCTAAAGACGGTATAAATAAATGGGTACATACCTTGTCTCCCTTTAAGACGAACAAGGCATGGATCGAACTTAACAACTTCAAGTACAAACCAGAAGTGGTCATGATCCACGGCGAGCTGTAAAGGCGTTAGTCCGTCGGCGTTAAGTTTCCGAGCAAAAGATGGTTTCAAGTTCATTAGTTACATGGCGAACTCTGTTTTTCCGGCGACGGCTGCCACGTGGAGAGGAGTATCAACGAACGGCACGTGATCGATTTTATCAAGAACGTATGGATCTTCATGGATTAGTTCGTATAATAGATCGATGTTTCCAAATTTAGAAGCAGCATCTATTGACCTTTGATCCATTATCTAAAACTTAACACAGAAATGATGACGATTAGAATGATTTTCGGTTTATTAAATAGCTGATACGACGAAATTTAATTGGCTAAGCAAAGATAACTAGTGTGTGAATGCAAGGAAATTCGAACTAGCAGACAAGCAGGGTGGAAAATTATACGTTATCTACGTATGATGTCATCGACGTGACATGATCAATTTCATGACAATAATTAATATAGGTATGATATAAATTATATGAGACCGTGGTTGGCCAAAGAACGAATGACACTTTTAAATTTTAGTTACCTTTTACTTATTTTAATAGAGTTTGATCTCCACCAATCGCGAAATTAAATAACTAGACAAGTTGACTAATGGATTAAATAATTAAGATGTTCTTACGTTTCTTGTAGTATCATTTATAGGATCACAATTCACAATTGTAATGGTGGTCAATCCTAGGAAGCACAAATTCACATGTCTCTTTATATTTTTAATTTAAAAAAAATTCATTCTTAACTACACCAAGTATTGGCTAATATGTTACAATCATCCCAAATATAGAAATATGTTCTAAACTACACAAACTATTATATAATACATGGTGACATACATTAAGTATATGTAAACATGTTAAAAACTACAAATTAGTGTTTTTTGATAAACATTTATCAATTTGGGGATCACTTTGTAATTATTTTCATAAAAAATTTTTTTATGAAAATCCAAAAAACTAAAAACATACAAAAACTTAACAAATCGAAAGAAAATCCATAAAATTTCGTAAATATGAGGAAAAAATATATTAAATTTTAGACCAA